TAGTTTACGGGAGGAGTCGACAGCGGTTGTGTTGAAGGCATCATATGTAGTGTCCTGTCTCCTTCCTATAGGGTGATATATATCTGTCAATCTCAAAAAGAAGAAGGCCAGTGACCCCAGTAGGGACTCAAATCCGGGACCACACGGTTTTGAGCCTGAAGCTCTACCGGCTGAGAAACTCCAGTCTGAAGCAAGGTGTGGGAAATCCCTTGTTCAAGGGAATTTCTGTTTGGAAAAACATTGTTCCTAAGCCGGGGACAGTTGATGGGATCCAGCACCATCTTGGATTCAGCTAGGATCCTTCAAGGTTTTCTATCCTCTTCTAGTTTCTGAGGCCACAGCTAAGTAAAACGATTTTCAGTCCGCATCAGCCAAGGTCTGGAATAAACTCGGCATGCCGGAGAACAAGATCGTCATTGGTTTGGCGACGTACGCTCGCGGCTGGACGTTGTCTAAAGCGTCGGACAGCAAAGTTGGAGCAGCCGCCTCTGGACCTGCGAAACAAACGACGTTCGTCAGGGAAGCCGGTGTCGCCTCGTACTATGAGGTAAATGCAACCGCTTCTTGTTTCAGAGCTGTTTTACAGGTGATCGCTTAACAGATTTGCAAAATGATCGAACAGGGAGCAAAACGATATTTCGATGATGAGGCGAAGGTGCCTTACATCGTCATGGGAGACCAGTGGTTTAGCTACGACGACGTCGAAAGTTTTGATTACAAGGTAAGCTGATTTTGAATGAACGAATTGGATTTCATTAATTTTTATTGAATTTGGGTTGCGTTATTAAAATTTTAAATATAATAAATAAAACATCTATTAAATTATTATATAACTAATGTGCGCCATTTATTATTGATACTGTAGCCAACAGAAGTGATGGAAGATGCATAAATGTGCCTACATATAATGGTGCTATGGCCTGTTTCAATGTTCTGCTCTTCTCAGGCAACTAGATATTAAGAGCTGGAGCAGTACATTGTGAAAACTGCCACAGAAAGGTCGTCTGATAAGAGACATATCGATAAAAGTTGTATAACAGTTCATTTGTTCAGACTACCTCTTATATTAAATATTGGGACTGAATCAATATGATTCTGATATAATATATAGACATGTAACTCTTTACCAGGAGGTGAGTTTCAGATCGCATGGTGCCGGTCCGTTGTTCTATTAAGCCTTGTAGGCCACAGATACATTCAACATCATATCCACAGCAGCTCTACTAGACTGAACAATATAAGTAAGGCAAGTCAGCAATCAGACACGTGACTTAAAAAAGCATTGGTTTTGATTATGGGCTCTGCCATGAATTGGATGCTGAAACCAAGTTGGACGCGCGACCTATGCTTGACCGTGTCAGCTGACAGCACCATATGAAACTATACATATAGCATGATTCAGACCGGTTATGTACACAGCACAAAATCTATTGCATAGAATATCACTGCCAATTTTTTATGACCGCTACCTGAGCCTCTTTTCCAAGGTTAATATGTGAACGATTTTCAGCGTCTGTTCGAGCCAGTTCTAGCAAGTGATGTTTTTTGGAGAAATGGGCTTTCTCATATGATTGTCAATGCGCAAACCATATTCCACAGAATTAACGACTTCGCTGGAATGTCACAAACTGACAACTGATAACTCCAATCACTAATATTCACAGCTATTGTGGGGCCTTTTTCGAAACAAAAGAATTTTTAATGTCTTACGAAATTACGCGTACTTCATGAACGATGCCGGTGATGAGGAGGGACATGTATGACCGCTGGAGTTTAAGTTTCACAGAACCGTAGCTTCCTTAAATGCCATTTTTCTATGCAGCAAAGAATAAACTGTTGGCACAGATATGTTGTGAATTGTAAATATATGCTTAATTGTTTATTATATATTGCAAAATTTCTTATATACTCATTATTTTAAATCTATGTTTAATCTTCAATTACCCAGCTGTTGACACCATGCGAATTGCGTGAATTCAGACGTAAACAAGTTATCCTGAAAAAACGATGGAAGAATTTCCACTTATGAAAATTTTACTTAACGAACCTAGGCTATTTACACGCCGCGTAGCAGCGATCCTCCGCAAGGCCGTTTACACAGATTCTGATTAAGCAGTCCGTGATTTGTTGAAGCGCCAGAATATTTAACAAACTTTACAAAGCCTTGCAATGCATAAGAAGTGGTTGCAAAAATGGTATGCATTTGGATTGAAAAACAAGACTTCCCGCAGTTTGTGATTGTTTTCTTCAGTGCGAAGCTTACGAGAACTTGACTGAAAAAATAGTGAAGCCTTCTGAGCAAACAGAACTAGAAGTTGATGCGCAGGATATATATCTAAGAATTGACTGACTCAAATGGTGATGAATTATCAAATGAAGAGCTTGCAACCAGAAGAAAAACCGGAACGTTTTGTTGCAAAGCAAATGGCGCTCGGTTCCGTAAGATTTTGGCAGAAATGGTAAAATGAAAGAAGATGGCCCCTGCTGCCATATGGTTTTTAAAAGTCGAAAGAAAGTTGATAAATTATCGAGTGATTTATGAAAGAAAGAAACCACTCTTACCTCTTCCTTCGATGATTTCATAAGAAAGGCAGAAAGGGGCAACTAAAATCTTTTTTTATAGATGGGTTCAGGACGTCAAATACAACAGATAATAAAAAGACTTTATTGTCGAGCCGTTTCGCCACACTGTATCTTCATCGGGGCTAAGTTTGTTCTTAGCTGTATAATACAGTTGTTTACTTTGTTGCATACAGCATCTTTGTATTAATAGTTACGTATTGAAATTTGATTTGTGTACGCATCCTCTCAACGAAACTAACGGATAAATAACACGTTAAAGCGTACACTCACTGTAAATACGTAAGAGTTGATTAATCGATTAGTTAAATCTGAATAGCGTAAAATTCGCGTTGCGTAAAGATTTTTGGAACGTAACTTTTGCACAAGTTTTGAACTCTCTGTATTATTTACTAAAAATCAGATCGCTTCATTTTGGCGTACAAATGTTACTCTTTTAAGCTTGATGTAATGATGAAAAATAAGTACAAAGGCGCCTTTGTTTGGACGTTGGACTTCGATGATTTCAACGGCCAATGTCAGTCTAGCAAAGGGAAGAAATATCCCCTACTCAGAAGAATGAAGGACAAACTATCCCGAATGGGTTCAGAGGTAAGTTGCAGTTTGAGCCTAATCAACTGTATGACTAATTTATTTATTAATTTTATTTGAAACAACTCCACCTATGCAAAAACCGTTGAAATCGTTGCTTCTAGAAACTTGGATTGCTTGTCTTCTCTCATTAATAATAATCGCAAATACCACATTGATAACAACTGAGGAGAAAATCTTCTAACATTAGGTCCGCATGAATCTGCTAACCAGTCTATGTTAAGTAGGTATTTAGGCATCGATATTCCAAAAATTTGCCATATGAACCTCTGTACAATTTCACCATTTTTATGTTCATCTTTTATGACCGCTCCCCTTTTCGAGTCTCAGAGGCAAACTTGTCAGGCAGTGCTTCGAACGTGTCCGTAATGTGCCGCAGAAAACAACTGGACTCTGGAACAGACTCCTTCATGGAGGTCAAGCTTGGCCGTCCCCTGGGCCTTCTGCCAGTCGGTTGGGCAAGAAAGAGTTGCTTAGCCTCCCTTTCTACAGGCATTCGCAACACATGCCAAAGCCATCGCAGCTGTGACTTCTCAATCTGGAGAAGCAAAGGCTGTATT